TCATAATATATAAGCAAAATATACAAGCAAAATATACAATCAAAATATACAATCAAAATATACAAGCAAAATATATAATCAAAATATATAAACAAAATATATAATCAAAATATATAATCAAAATATATAAGCAAAACATATAAGCAGAATATATAAACAAAAATCGATGAAAATATATAAAAATATATAAAAATATGTATACATATTCATGCAATATATCATTTCAGGAACAACAGAACGAGAATTTCCCCAAGGAAATACACGTCAAAGTCTCTCAGGATCGTAAAGACAAGCTGCCGAACGTAGCAACGACAACTCAGACAATGTCAAACGTAATGAGCAGTGCGGAGCAATCTGGAAACACTAAAACACTGGAAGAGAACGAGTCACGAGAGTCCTCTTCATCCAGCATCGAAAACAATAATTCAAAACTGTCCGAGGTATCGAGTGACGCGGAATTATCGTCGGCTAACTCCGAAGAAGGTTCTAACATAAAAAGCCAAAAAATAGAGAAACACGGAGAAGCGATGAATAATGGAGATGTCTGGAACCGTAGCGAAAATCAGCTCGCAATTCCATCGATTCCGATGGTTTCCTCTGTAGAGCAATCGAACAGTTTTATGTCGACAGATAGAGGCTTCTACAAGCACATCTCTTTGAATGACCCCTCAAATCACCTTGGACGTGCCGGCAATTCCAGGAGTTTCCTCTACTTCCAAAACGGTGAGGATGAGTACAACGCGATCGAGAACGATTCGGGTGATTTAAATTTGATCGAGGAGAAAATTTTTAGGAGGAGACGGGAAGCGAGATTGTCGAACGGTTTGGTGCAGGAAATTGTCGACGAGCCTAAGACACAGGGAATTGCCGGTAAATCGAGCTCGCAGCGGTTTCAAGATGGCGGAGCGAAGCAAACCGTCAACGAACAGAAACACCAAGATTCGGAGCAAGAAATTGTTAAGGAAGTTTCAGCGATTCCCGAAAGAGCACCGAAACCTGACAACTCGCGTTTGAAGGCATTTTTAGCGAGCAGAAAAGCGTCGTGGAGAAGGGCCCTGTTGAAGGAAGCTGCCTTGGGAAAGAAACATCGAAACTACATGGAAATGCCTTGCAACGGACAATAAAATGGTTGAGACATATTTTAGAATATTAAACGGAGAATTATTAAGATAGAGGACCATGGCAATTCCAAGTAAACGGATGTGCGATGATTTATTTTTTTAGCTTCGACTAATTACGGAATTGCGGAACATTGCGATAATCTACAGAGAACGTTGTACTGTTGGATGTAGAACGAAATTTAGGATATTCTTTTTTAGTAGAAATTCTTGTTTTTAAGGCATTTTGATGTAGGGTTATGTGAGATTTTGTGAGAGGCGGAGATTGCCTTAGGGTTGCCTCTGTCTCGTTAGATTTTTATGACTTTAAATTAGATAAACTTGTTTAACAATAAACCGCAAAAGATTTAGCATCCAATAGAATTCTGACACATTGTTTCCCGACAAGACAAGAATTCCGGGAGGGAAAACCACCGAAACGCGAACGATTAACAAATTCGCAAAATTCCGCGATTCCATCGAGGAACTCTGGCGGCGAATGTAATATAACTTTTAAATTAGTTGCTCGAACGAAACGTCAACGCGATTACGTTGGTAAAATTTCACAGATAAAAGCTCGCGAATAACGATGTACTCCGCGTGTGTCGTGTGTGTATACGTATGCATGTAAACGTGTGCATGTGTGTGTGTATTTAATCCTGTCGCTGCAAAGTTTGTACACACAGGCGTTCGAAAAATGGCCGACCATCTGCTAAAAGAGCAAGCGTATTTCATGCTACACGATCATTTCTATCATCGTTTGTACAATGTGTCTGCACCGTGTGCATACATTTCATTATTCCTTAAACCATTGCACAGGAAAAAAAATAGAAAACCACTGATATGTAAAAATTGTTTCGATTTCATTTCTTTTGTAGTTGCACCTTTTGCACGGTGTCGAAAGGTTTTGATTAACGTTAAAGTTAAGATTAGTGATAAGCGAGAAAATAGAATGACACGAGAAAATAGTAATTGTATGAAGAACCGAGGATAAATTGATACCGGTATCTTCGTCGCATGATCTCAAAGGAAGCATGATTTATCATGGAATTAGAGAACGCCAATTACATATGTGATACATAAGTTAAGGTGTTAAGACATACATAATTAGCTGGAGTAGTTTTTAAGTTAGCCTCGGAATAGTTATACTTTATATAATTTTTGTTTACTGATGTACGCAAGGAACGTAAGGTATAAATAAAGTGTGTTACGAAGGAAACTCTTGTTAAATACATTTCTTCCTAAATATAATACGCTAGAATTTGATTATGTATTCAGATATAATAATACAAGTTATTAACAATTATTCAATTTTTTCATTTATTACTTAATATTCAGTATCGAAGTAGAGGGCGCATTTCTTTATTTTCTTTGAATATTCAATTTAATATAATTAAATTTGTTAGATCACTGATGGCCACCAACGTAAATTAAAATTGAGTAATAATGACAGGGATAAAATAAGGGTATCTGTTGTCGTGCATAAATGGAGCAATCTTTATTAAACTACAATTACTTCTTACATCTACAGTCGTCTAATCTCAGATTGGTACAGTGAGATGAAATACTTAAAGTCATTAAATTGAACTTATTCTAAAATTATTGAAATGAGGTTTCAGTATAATTAGACAAGTAAAAAATTTGACAACTATGATCACAATTAAAAACTTAACCGATTATACCTGTCAGTTAAAAATATAAATTATACCATGATACAGTTAAAAACATGAACAAGATCATACAGAATAATAAACACTATCAATTGTGACCATGATTCTAAAACCCATCACTCTTCGACTAACTTCGTATTTTTTGAAATATCACCAAATGAGCCATGCTTCCCCGTCGATTCCGCTGCAGGATCCCCAAATCCATCCATCAAAGGTTTACGCAAATCCTCAACAACAATCGGCTTCTGATCCGCCGCCATTTTATCCGAAGTGCAACCATTGTCGCTGGCCGTCTCTGTCTTCGTTACGTTGCCATTATCCTTATATTGAACGTTATCATCAATCTCGACAGGGTTGCTCGATTTACCCGAACCTGCATCCACCGTTGAAGAAGACTCCCTTTGTTCGGAAGATGTCGGCTCCGTTTTCCTTCGGAAAATATTCTGAATACTCTGCACGATTTTCGAATGTTCCGTTTTGTTCACGATATCGCGGATCGTCTGCAAAATTTTTTGTCCGTTCTTCCTGGGTCCCTCTTTAGATTCTGGAGTCGAGTCTTCGGCGTCCTTCGACAACTCTATGGACACTCCTGTTTCTACGGAATGGTCGTCTACGGATGTTTGTCCGTAGAAGCTCACTATCGACGGTGTGAAATTTACAACTGAGGGTTTAGCTTCGGTATTTTGATGCACCTGCGTGGGTCTCGTGCTGGTTTCTTCGAGGACGAACTTGGTGGAGGATTCTTCGTTGGTCGGGTCTTTGACGATGATCTGAGGCTTCGGGGGTTTACTATTTACGTCGTTGACACTGAAAGACCCTGAAGATTCTTCGTTGGTCGGGTGGTCTTTGGTGACGATCTGAGACTTCGTAGGTCTACTCGTTCCATCATTGACAGTGTGATGCACATTGACACTGAACGACCCAGAAGATTCTTCGTTACTCGGGTCTTTGATAATATTCTGAGGCTTCGTTTTCTGGGGTCTACTTGTTCCATCGTTGACAGCGTGATGCACGTTGACACTGAACGACCCTGAAGGGGTGTTCACAGGTTTTTCGTGATCGATCACGGGCTTCTCCGCTACGGAGACCGTCAACGAGGGTTTAAACTCGAAGACCGGCTTCGTGGTTTGTGCGGCGGGTTGATAATTCTGGCACAAGGGGAGACCAATGTCTGGGAGACAGCCGTAAGCTACCAGAGTGGCGGTCATAGGCGAATTCAGCACCTTGGTCACATAAATTTGTTGCAGTTTCTTCTTCTCCGTGTGAGAGGACAAGAGTCTTTGTCCTCTGACCTCTTCTTCTGTTAATTCTATGGTCTTCATTCCCCGTTCTGATGATTCCGCCTCGGAGATCGGAGGAGTTGCCACGATTGTTTCCAATTTGTCCTCGAAACTTGATTTCGATTTGATAGACTCCGCTTCCAGGTCCACAATTTTGCCGCTGAACTGCTCGTACTGTTTCTGGTACTTTTTGATCTCGTGCGAGCAGGGGAACACTCCTTCGGCGGGCATCAGGCAGACTGGTTGACGCCACCTCACCATTTCGATCAACTGAGCCTCCTCCGTTGTTTTCGTAGGCTTGCCGATCCACAAGAATCGACTGAAGTCCAGCGCGAACGAACCGACGACTATGGTCAGAAGAACGATTCCCCTGAAGAGATTCATGTTGGAAGTCGTTGAAGAGACGGTTAGAAATGACCCGTTTCACAGATTTCGAATGCAACTATCCTCGAGAAGGTCGACGTAGAACTAAAGCGTTTTCGAATGGGTCCAGGACATTTATAGCTGGAAAATTACCACCACTGTCACGAGTGGAAATGAAAATGTGTGTGGTCCCGTCTGGAGGGCTCCATTTTCTCGACCAACAACCGGAAGACCTTTAGTCAGGGACCCGTTGACGATTGTTCGGACGATTAGAAGGGACGACGAGGTAAAACCGATTTTGATGCACTCACCGAGACCCACTAATGTCGAGTTAATTGCCTTCGAGGATCCACGAGCTTAATTGCGGAATACTAGATAGCCGAGAGTGCATTTTTGGATGCTATTAACTATTATCTATTTTACGATTGATTCTTTTAGGGGCTTTTCATGTAATCGGACGTTTCGGGTTATTTGTGAAGGTTCTATGATTTTGGTGGAGAGATTCATGTGAGATGTTTGGCTTTCGGAGATTTTGTTGAAGATTTTTTGGGAGAAATCTTATGTAACATTTGTTAGGATTTTTGTTAGAAGTTATTAGTTAGTTTTAATGCAGAAAATATTTACAATATTATATATATTTATATTATAACATTAATTACATTAATTATATTAATTATATTAATTACATTAATTACTAATTTTCTGTGCATAATGTATACTCTTTCATGATTGAAGAATGATGTGTGATTTATTATCTACTTCTTCATCTATCATGTGATAAGATTTTCTATGAAAGCCATTCATCATTAATAATTGCCTCTAAAGGTAATAGTAGTTCGATTAATTTTTAATGTAGAAAATTCTGTCGGTAAAAGTTAAATATTGATCAGCGCCATCTAGCGGATTTTCCCCAAAGCTTGCTCCTGGTAGCAGGATCGCAGGAAAGCGAGGAGGTATCCGGAGTATCAGGAGGTCTCCCGCGCAATCCGCGCGCATGCGCAGTGGAGCCGGCCTCGCGCCACCTCTCCAACATGGCGTCGCAACACATCGAAACAACGATGAATTCCATTAATTAATTACTCATCTCTTCAATGTAATTCATACACTTTTACAATCGGAATTAGTACGTAAATTCAGTCCAATCGTTCACATATAAAATTCGTTAATAAAAAGTTCATCGTAATTATATTAACTAACACTTGTTAATAATAATTAATAGCTAATTATATTCAATAAAAGTCTGAACAAGTGTTGAATAAGAAAATGAATTATGAACTATAACTCATTCTTTGATGATAAAAGTGCGTAAATTGTTTATAGAAAGTTAGTAATTAATTATTGAATATCACTGTTTCGATGTATTACGTGCGACGCCATATTGGAGAGGTGGCGCAAGACGGCGTCCACCGCGCATGCGCACGGATTGCGCGGGAAACCTCCTGATACTCCGAATACCTCCTCGCTTTCCTGCGATCCTGCTACCAGGAGCAAGCTTTAGGAAAAATCCGCTAGATGGCGTTGCTCAAAATTTAACTCTTACCGACCGATTTTATGAATCCTAAAATACTATGTAGTAATAAGGCACTTAAAATACCTTATGAATAAAACAATACAGTAATGTACTTAATGACTTGCATTATACTTCATCAAGATCTCATTATCTCTAATTAAAAGCTGTCATGGTTATTCATAACACCTAGATGATAGTTATAAAGCGTATAAATTATGCAGCGAATTAATTCAACAAATCTTTAATCAAAAATGATTATCGTTGCATTTTCATACTTTACTTCTCAAGCTCGTTCGAATATTCAGATACTGTTGAAGTTAATATCACCGTAACATGCAAGTACTCTGATTAATTGGAAGAATTTTTGTAATTAAGATATGGAAGACAATTCAAATTACAACTATTTAGCAATATACCGCTTTAAAGTGCCTGAAAGCACGCAACTTTGTAAGCTCCGTGTCTAAACGTTGCATACATTCAGGGGCACATACACTCTTGTGCAACATACCTCAACTTTGTTACTTTTTAATAACTTAATTTGTGAATTCTATAATTGTTATTTAACGCACGGTGATGTGATAAGTGATTCTACATGGGGAGATCTAACTCTTGGAGATTCAACGCGTATAAATATAACGCGTAGAGATTCAACGCGTATTAATATAATGCGTAGGTGACCCAACGCGTAGTATGACGCATAGGTGATCCTCCACGCGATCTAGCGTAGAGATTCAACGCCCACAAATCTTAATGCGTAGGTGATATAACGATCCTCGTATAATGTAGGTGATCCATCACGTGGAGATTTAACTCCGACTTAACCCATCGCGTGGAGATTTAACGCGTAGTATCCAACGCGTGTATAATTCTACGCATGACCGCTCAAAAATCTGTAACCTACACAGGTGATCACATAGCAATCTAACCCGCACATAGATAATGCGTAGACGTAATCGTAGATAGTGCAGACACATAATCGCGCAGATAATTGAACGCGTAGATAATCCAACGTGTACTAATTCACCGCAAGATGACCTAACTGATCCTCCGCCTCGTAGTTCAGTACAGCACCAAAAATTCCACCTACCCCACCTGAGGATCCATTTAAATTTCCTCTGACCCTCTCCATGTCCCCAAAATCTGACCGAAAAAGAAGAAAAGATAGTCTGAGGGGGGACTCGGGCACACCTGAGCCGGATTCCTGCTAGGCATTAACCCGGTCCATGGAAGAGGCTTGGACCAGCATAACAAGAGACTCGGCGAAAAAGAGAGGGGGTCTAGAAGGCCGCGGAGCTGGAGGGGCGCCGCGGAGGCCCCGGCGAGCGGAGGCTGCGGTTAGAAAGCCTTAAGCCGGGTCCACAGTGTACCCGCGGTGCTCGTGGTGGCCACATACCACCTGACCATCGTACACACAACCTGTCCAGCATGCATGGTCGCCGCGTACACACAGTGCCGTACGCTTGACCGACTGGTACCAGTACGGTACCAGTTGCCCTGCAGCCTGCCAGCTGCACGAGTCGCGAGTGTTCCACGAATCGCGTCCGTGTCGTTCCACGCTCGTTTTATGGCATTGGTAAATGGTTCCCTCGAACAACAGGCACGGGAAGGATCTCACCTTTCAGGAGGTACGTTTTGCACCTCTGGCACATGGATGAGATTTTCTTGGAGAGATGAGTTTGGGTGGATGGTGGGAATAGGGAGTGTCAGGTACAGTTTGGGTGATTTTTGGGACCATTAGTTGGGACTATTAGGTCTATTAGTTGACGACTATTGCGTGAGGATCATATAGGAGGATCCTATATATACCTTGGGTATTCTGAGGTCTGTACCTCAACAAGAAGCTTTCAAACCAGAGGGTTACGTGTTTTGTGGGGTCAGTGTGGGTTTCTTTTTTTACTTGGGAGGATTTTATTAGAGGGAGTGGAGCTAGGGTACTGTGGATGTCCGAGTGATATTGAATTAATGGTAGATAAATAGATTCATGTGTTTTGTGGGGTCAGCGTGGGTTTCGTTTTTTACTTGGGAGGATTTTATTAGAGGGAGTGGAGTTAGGGTACTGTGGATGTTCGAGTGAAATTGAATTAATGGTAGATAAATAGATTCGTGTGTTTTGTAGAACTAACTCTAGAATTTTTCATTCTTTCTTATATTTTGGAAGCTTCTTTAAGGAAGCAGTGTTGAAGGAGTATTAGACAAGGATACAATGAATGATAGAGCTATATGTTTGACTTATAATAGTTTGATGTGTGATTGTAATAGGAAATATTATTTTGAACATGCAGTTTATTTAGACTTGATGAGACTGAACTTGTTGAGTGTTTCTCTTATATGGAGACTGTCATTTCAGTAATGTTCTTTCTGCATTTTGAAAGTAATTGATTAGAAGAATTTTAGACAATTCTGAGGTAGAATGAATCACCTAGCAAGTTCATCTAACAATCTGATAACAAGTTTGAGTTAGTTTGACATTGCAACAAGTCACTTCAAACTTCTGATTTGTATAAATTTAATATGTTGGAAGTTTTAGATGATTTTCAAATATGATGATTGTCAGAGCATCAAGTTTGAAGTGGTTTGACATTGTTTGCAATAGGAAATATTATTTCAAACATCAGATTTGTATAAATTTAATATGTTGGAAGTTTTAGATAATTTACAAATATGATGACTGTCAGAGCATCAAGTTTGAAGTGGTTTGACATTGTTTGCAACAGGAAATATTATTTCAAACATCAGATTTGTATAAATTTAATATGTTGGAAGTTTTAGATAATTTACAAATATGATGACTGTCAGAGCATCAAGTTTGAAGTGGTTTGACATTGTTTGCAACAGGAAATATTATTTCAAACATCAGATTTGTATAAATTTAATATGTTGGAAGTTTTAGATAATTTACAAATATGATGACTGTCAGAGCATCAAGTTTGAAGTGGTTTGACATTGTTTGCAACAGGAAATATTATTTCAAACATCAGATTTGTATAAATTTAATATGTTGGAAGTTTTAGATAATTTACAAATATGATGACTGTCAGAGCATCAAGTTTGAAGAAGTTTAACATTGTTTGCAATAGGAAATATTATTTTAAATGTCTGATTTGTATAGATTTAATATGATGAAGGGTTTTAGACAATTTTGAGATACAACGACTGTCAGAGCATCAAGTTTGAAGAAGTTTAACATTGTTTGCAATAGGAAATATTATTTTAAATGTCTGATTTATATAGATTTAATATGATGAAGGGTTTTAGTCAATTTTGAGATACAATGACTGTCAGAGCATCAAGTTTGAAGAAGTTTAACATTGTTTGCAATAGGAAATATTATTTTAAATGTCTGATTTATATAGATTTAATATGATGAAGGGTTTTAGTCAATTTTGAGATACAATGACTGTCAGAGCATCAAGTTTGAAGAAGTTTAACATTGTTTGCAATAGGAAATATTATTTCAAACATCAGATTTGTATAGATTAAATATGATGAAGGGTGTTAGACAATTTTGAGATACAATGACTGTCAGAGCATCAAGTTTGAAGAAGTTTAACATTGTTTGCAATAGGAAATATTATTTTAAATGTCTGATTTGTATAGATTTAATATGATGAAGGGTGTTAGTCAATTTTGAGATACAATGACTGTCAGAGCATCAAGTTTGAAGAAGTTTAACATTGTTTGCAATAGGAAATATTATTTCAAACGTCTGATTTGTATAGATTGAATATATTGGAAGATTTTAGACAATTTCCAAATACAATGACTGTCAGAACAGGTTTGAAGTGGTTTGACATCGTTTGACTTAATATAAAACATTACTTCAACCTACTTAATTTGTTCTAAAATGTTTTATACTCCTTTTCATATTAAAAAACCAATTTATTGAAAAGATCTCAAAAAACATTAAGACATAATGATTGACATTACATCCATCAGAAGTTAAATTACGTCAAGACAGAAGTTTGAACAAGTTTGAAGAAGTTCGTGAACAACATCTAACATCAGAATTTTCAATTGCTACAAATCGTATTAGAGCCAGCAGAGTCAGTTTCCCACCCTACACATCTAAAAAAGTTACACCAACTCACCTCAGATCTCGGACTTCAAGCAATAAATTTTTCCATGAACTCACAGTCTCCGAAGCATAAAATCGATGACGTTTATATTCGAACTTCTCTTGACCATCGAATTTCGAGCCGCCATTGTGAAACGTCCTCTCAGCCGATGAGATCACGGCTGATCGCGTTACGTAACTTCGATTGTCAAAAATCTATAGTTTTCGCAGGTGCAACTTTCGTTGCACGATTTAGAAGAGTTAGAAAGTGCGACGGTTTCTTTCTCCCTTTCTATTATTCGCGTGCGATTCTGTGCTCGCCCACGCGTGGAGAAACACTGAAATCTCGCGTGTTACTAATTCGCGTTCCTTTCGTGTCTCCTCGTTTCCGGGAAAAATTGATACCGATCGAAAAGTGCCAGATATTTTAAGATCGCAGGCGGATAACGACGCATTCCTTTCTACTAGGTTCTAAATTGCGGAATTATTCCTTGCAATCTTCGACTTCTTCGAATCGGATGTACACGGCTTTGGATATATTTCACGCAAGAAGGAGTTCGTTGGAAAGTATGATCATTTGTAGATATTTTATACTTAGATGGTTAGTTTTAGATATTTGTGTATGTAGTGTTTGTGGATTTTTGCAATTTCAGTGTATTTAAATGGCTGTGGGTGCAGATTTCTATATTTTTTAATTTGTATATTCAAGGTATCCATATTTTAAAATATCTGTGCCTTCAAAATTCTGTGCTTGTTACTTGTAAATTATCCAAAATTATTTTCAAGTTTTTATAGCTTGTAATTCTTATATTCCTAAATCCACATATGCCTCATATTCTACATCCTCAAATTTCTGTATCCTAAGTTTCTACATATATTCCTTAAATCTCTTCCCAAGTGTCTATAATTTCTCTGTCTTAAAAGTTCCATACCGTCATTTCTAAATTCCTTGATTCCCTAAACAACATTTCAAATCTCCAAATTTTCAAATCACACGAAACTGAAACCTCCATCTTCAAAAAATTCAAAATCCCAACAAACAGTACACAGTAACGCAATTGGTAATTTCTTCAAGCTACACTATAAACGAGAATATAATATTTTGAACGATAGTTTGAAAATATTTGCTAGAACAGTGTCGTTCAGTTTCAGAACACAGTTTTCGAAACTTTCAAACCTTTCAAGCAGCTTCCAGCAGTTGAAGTGGTTTCCGCGAAAGTAGCAGCGTAGCAAGGTGTTAAAATTCCGTAGTTTAAAGAGGATGACAGGAAAACGACAGGGAACAGATGCAGATAAGATAGTTCCGAACGATTTGCATCGCTTTTCGTAAGCTTCGCTAAAACCAACAGTGTGGTTGCGCAACCGCGGGCTCTCTGCTCGCTGTCTAGAACGTTGCTTCACGTGGTCCGACAATCAACCAGACTTGGAAAAACTGGAACAAGGAAAGTTACGCAATACGTAAACACTGGGCAAAACGAGTTCGTGCTGTCATCGTTTGATAGAAACGAATGATTCAGTTGGGCTGTGTAGTACTCTTAGATTCGTCATAGGTAGACGTTCATCTGTCGCGACCTAGCACTTGTGTTACATCTTATAATAACTAATTAAATTGTAGTTGTGGTTGAGTACAACTTGGACAAATTCTAATAGTGAAATCTTAAGTGGTTTCTCTTAATAAGATTCAAAAATTGCATTCATTTATGGTAATAATTATACTGTTCCTTGTGTTGCATCTTTTTTACCTATCACTTATGTTACATATTATAATAACTAATTAAATTGTAGTTGTGGTTGAGTATCACTTGGAGTGCAACTTGGACAAATTCTAATAGTGAAATCTTAAGTGGTTTCTCTTAATAAGATTCAAAAATTGCATTCATTTATGGTAATAATTATACTGTTCCTTGTGATGCATCTTTTTGACCTATCACTTATGTTACATATTATGATAACTAATTAAATTGTAGTTATGGTTGAGTATCACTTGGAGTACAACTTGAACAAATTCTAATAGGAAAATCTTAAGTGGTTTCACTTAATAAGATTCAAAAATTGCATTCATTTATGGTAATAATTATACTGTTCTCTTGTGTTGCATCTTTTTGAAGTGGTCACTTATGTTACATATTATGATAACTAATTAAATTGTAGTTATGGTTGAGTATCACTTGGAGTACAACTTGGACAAATTCTAATAGTGAAATCTTAAGTGGTTTCACTTAATAAGATTCAAAAATTGCATTCATTTATGGTAATAATTATACTGTTCTCTTGTGTTGCATCTTTTTGAAGTGGTCTTGTGATGCATCTTTTTGACCTATCACTTATGTTACATATTATGATAACTAATTAAATTGTAGTTATGGTTGAGTATCACTTGGAGTACAACTTGAACAAATTCTAATAGGAAAATCTTAAGTGGTTTCACTTAATAAGATTCAAAAATTGCATTCATTTATGGTAATAATTATACTGTTCTCTTGTGTTGCATCTTTTTGAAGTGGTTCTATTATGTGGATCATATTTGAGTATCACTTAATCTACATATAAATTATGAAATGCTAATAGTAAAATCTTAAGTGGTGTTTCAAAAATTGCACCACACATAATAACAATTATATTGTTCTCTTGTGTTGCATCTTTTTGAAGTGGTCCTATTATGTGGATCATATTTGAGTATCACTTAATCTGCACATAAATTATGAAATGCTAATAACAAAACCTCAAATGGTACTTTAATTCTTGTACCACAAATAATAATATCAGCTTGTATTATTTTATTAATGTAGACATTAATGAGCATCACTTAATACATATACATATTATGAATGAGGATATAGAGATTCAAAAACTGTTTCATAAATTATAATAGCAACTGTACTGTTTTCTTATGGGTCTCCCTTTTTTAAGTGGTCCTATTATATGGTTTGCAGTTCAGTGTTGTTTGGTGCACATGAACATTATGAAGGAAGAATAAATAAATCTCATGTATCAATTGAAAAATTGTGTCATGAAAGAGGAATAAAAAAATCTCATGCTGCAATTGAAAAATTGTGACACGAAATAGAAATAAAAAAATCTCGTGTAGCAAGTGAAAAATTGTGTCATGAAAGAGAAATAAAAAATCTCGTGTAGCAAGTGAAAAATTGTGTCATGAAAGAGGAATAAAAAAATCTTGTGTAGCAATTGAAAAATTGTGTTATGAAAGAGGAATAAAAAAGTCTTGTGTAGCAATTGAAAAATTGAGTCATGAAAAAGGAATAAAAAAATCTCATGTACCAATTGCAAAATTGTCATGAAATAACAAAATTGAACTTGACAATTATAAAATTGTGCCCCGCAACAGTAATAATACAAAAATTCCAAAATTGTCTCATAAAACAAGAATAACAAACCTCGATATGATTAAACTAAAAAGTCATAAACTAAAAAGTCATAAACTAAAAAGTCATAAACTAAAAAGTCGCAAATTAAAAAGTCATAAAACAAACATAATAAAACAAGTGATAATTGACAAATACTATGCTGAAAGAGTAATAACAAAATCAGTCGTGTTAACTGAAAATGTGATAAGCAACAGATGGAAAAAAAGAAGAACAGTGAGGGAAGAGTATGATTATGCGCACATGATCGCGTGTGTTCGCCAATTGCCACGACACACGCGGTGACGTGAGCACACGGTGTCGTAGGTGCTGTTACACGCACGTGTGTGTTCCCATTACGAATACACCACGGACCCACTTGCCTGTCCATTCATGGTGAGGACGTTGTGGCACGGAATCAAAGGCAACTTGAATCTCTACCTGCTGCTTTTTATTCCGGTCGAAAAATGGCATTGATACCATCTCTATAGTTCGCCTCAATTTTTTTTTTAATATGCTACAGGTTAGGTTAGGCACTAGGTAAGGTTAGATGTTATTCTGTGAGATGACTTGTATTACTAGTATAAATTTATTATTTTTTTAGTGCTATTTGTACTATTTAAATTGCTAATAAAATATGATAGACTTCATTATTCAATTTTGCTATTTCAACATTATCTTCGCTATAAATTTACTATGGTTTACTACTACTTATTACAATCATGAAATTTCTACAATTTACAAAACAACAAATTAATTTTTCATTTGCATTATTCTTTAAATAATTTTCATCCTTCAATTTATAATAATTTCGTCAAGTAACTACATTAATGTTTTTAAATTGTTACATAACCTACAAAAATAGGAAGACCATACAGTTGATCATCATACTTATACTATACAAAGCAACAAGTTCCATCTTTCATTTCTAGTATTCTCTAAACAATTTTCATCTTCCAATTCATAATAATTTCGTCAAGTAACTACATTGATGTTTTTAAATTGTTACATAACCCACAAAAATAGGAAGACCATACAGTTGATCATTATACTTATACTATACATAACAACAAGTTCCATCTTTCATTTCTAGTATTCTCTAAACAATTTTCATCTTCCAATTCATAATAATTTCGTCAAGTAACTACATTGATGTTTTTAAATTGTTACATAACCTACAAAAATGGGAAGACCATACAGTTGATCATCATACTTATACTATACAAAGCAACAAGTTCCATCTTTCATTTCTAGTATTCTCTAAACAATTTTCATCTTCCAATTCATAATAATTTCGTCAAATAACCACATTGATATTTTTAAATTGTTACATAACTTACAAAAATAGGAAGACCATACTATTAATCATCATACTTATACTTCACAAAACAACAAGTTCCACCTTTCATTTCTTTTATCCTCCAAATAATTTTCATCCTTCAATTAGTAATACTCTCATCATTTCCACACATTCAGAAAATGAAATTAGCATTTATGAAGCGCAAAATAACGTAGAAAAACCGAAAGGAGTATTAATCAGGTGAAATAAAAACTCCGCGGCGATATGAAAGGAATTTTGATCAGTGTAGAATACTGTTCTGCATGGTATACATTTCATTATGTCAAGTTACGATAACGTCTAGTTCCATTTGAGTGGTTTTAATTCCTGAGACAAGATCGATGTATAATACGAGGCATCGGTGACGACGCACTTCGTAATGCACCGTTAAAGGGTGTGTTCCAACATTCTTTGGATGATTATTGGATAGAAGGTCATCTGTTCAGGAGAGATTTAATGAACGTCTTGTTAGAATACCTTAGCTGTATACGACACTGATTGTACATAGTTGTAATAGAATTATTTGTATGAAATTTTATGTGTTAACGAACTTTAACATTTTGGGTAGCTGACTGAAATATTTTAATAATAAATGTGAGGTAATGATATGGTTGTGTGATTATGGCTTTGGGAGCTGTTGCGTAAGGAGGTGGGGAATGGAGTGGTAGTATGAGTATGTGGAACGGATATTATTATGTTAGATATTGATAGAGTACCGAATTCCTAATTTCCAACTCTAGCGAATTCCTAACTCTTCTAAATTCTCAATTTCCCCAATTTCCAATTCTTCCAAATTTTCAATTCCCCAAATTTCCAACTCTCCGATTTTCCAACGCGCCCTAATTACCAAATCTTCCAAATTCTCTACCCCCTGAATTCAAACGCTTCCAAATTCTCAACCCCCCGAATTCTCAATTCTTCCAAATTCCCAATTTCCCTAATTCCCAACGCTTCCAAATTCTCAACCCCCTCAATTCCCAACGTTTCCAAATTCTCAACGCTTCCAAATTCTCAACCCCCCGAATTCCCAACTCTTCCAAATTCTCAACCCCCCCAACTCCCAACGTTTCCAAATTGCCAACGCTTCCAAATTCTCAACCCCCCGAATTCCCAACGCTTCCAAATTCCCAACGCTTCCAAATTCTCAACCCCCCCAATTCCCAACGTTTCCAAATTCCCAACGCTTCCAAATTCTCAACCCCCTCAATTCCCAACGTTTCCAAATTCCCAACGCTTCCAAATTCTCAACCCCCTCAATTCCCAACGTTTCCAAATTCCCAACGCTTCCAAATTCTCAACCCCCCGAATTCCCAACGCTTCCAAATTCCCAACTCTCCCTAATTCCCAACGCTTCCAAATTCCCAACTCTCCCTAATTCCCAACGCTCCAAATTCCCAACTATCCCTAATTCCCAACGCTTCCAAATTCTCAACCCCCCGAATTCCCAACTCTTCCAAATTCCCAACTATCCCTAATTCCCAACGCTTCCAAATTCTCAACCCCCCGAATTCCCAACTCTTCCAAATTCCCAACTATCCCTAATTCCCAACGCTTCCAAATTCTCAACCCCCCGAATTCCCAACTCTTCCAAATTCCCAACTATCCCTAATTCCCAACGCTTCCAAATTCTCAACCCCCCGAATTCCCAACTCTTCCAAATTCCCAACTATCCCTAATTCCCAACGCTTCCAAATTCTCAACCCCCCGAATTCCCAACTCTTCCAAATTCCCAACTATCCCTAATTCCCAACGCTTCCAAATTCTCAACCCCCCGAATTCCCAACTCTTCCAAATTCCCAACTATCCCTAATTCCCAACGCTTCCAAATTCTCAACCCCCCGAATTCCCAACTCTTCCAAATTCCCAACTATCCCTAATTCCCAACGCTTCCAAATTCTCAACCCCCCGAATTCCCAACGCTTCCAAATTCTCAACTCCCCAAACTCTCTACTTCCCCAATTCCCAATCCCCCAAATTCCTATTTCCCCGAATTACTAATTCTCCAAAATTTCCACCTGTCCAAATTCTCTATTCTCCAAATTCCCAACTCTCCCAAATCCCCAACTCCCCAAATCCCCAACCCCTCAAATACCTATTTCCCCAAATTTCCAACTCTCCCAAATTCTCAACTCCCCACATTTCCACCTCCCCAAATTTCCACCTCCCCCACTCCCAACTCCCCAAACCCAAAAATGTCCGCCTTCCAAAGTCCCCAACACCGTCCCAAAAAAGTCCACGTAGAAAGCAAGAATTTAATGATTTCCTTTTTACAGGCGACCGTGAAAAAAGCATCAGCGTCGAGAAAGGAGACACAAAGATCGAGGAGAGGCGCGGCCGTCGGTTGTGGCAGGTCACGAGGAACGAGTCTTAAGATGGCCTACATTAACCGGTGTTATCGGTGAGAGAAGCGGTGGTCGCCGAGAGAAGACGAATCAGAGAGGTGGACAAACCACGTGGCTGGAGAAACGGTCGAGATAATAGCCGGACAGGAAGAAAAATGGGACAAGCTTGGTGCAAGGAAAGAACCTCGAAGGCTCAGGACTCCAAGTCCCCTTTGGACCGGGTCTTTGTACGATGTGCTCATCGGGTATGTTTAATATGATGCATCATATTTTGGTTTCGTTCTTTATTTTATTGGCGGTTGAATATTTTAATTATATATGTTTTATTAAATTTGTTGTGTATGAAGATTGTGGAGCGCATGGAGGCATATTGTTAATAGGAAATTTTTAAGAGGATTTCATGACAGAAAAGTATATGGAAATATCACTTACGGTACATCAGTTTGTAGGTTAAAGCTTGAAGAAAATTACTGTGTAAGCGCTTTGGTCATATTTTTTATATAAAATGATTTACGATGGTTTATAGTAAATAATGATTGGTGTTGAAGGGTTGGAGGTTGGACGGAATTTGATGACAGAAAAGTATCACAAAATGGCGCATGTAATGTACCAATTTAAAGCTTGTAGTGTAATAAAAATTGCTATGTAGGTGCTTTGTTAGTGTCCTTAATACAAAATGGCTGACTCTCAATTATATTAAGTACTGACCGAATTTAAAACGTTAAAAGTTAGACAAAATTCTGGAAAAATTCCAGAAGGGAATTACAAGATGGTGCTTGTGGTACGTCAATGTACAGTTTCAAGTTTGCAGAAAATGACTACGTAGAAACATGTGTAGACATATGAAAGTGTGTTAAGTATCTTACAAAAGTATGTTAACACAAAATGGTTGATTTGTCAGAACAATCTATGCAATTTATACCTACTGTTCGTCAGCAAATATTTAATCACTTCTCCACAAAAATGATCATTCGTTTTATACGTACTTCACGAGGCAAGTAATCAAACGAAAGATAAAAATCATTCCTGACGTCATTGGCAATCTTTAAACCTCGAAGAATGTTACATCGATAATGTTAAAAATAGTCTGGAGCTATCAGCTGTATTTACTAAATCATTTCGAGCAAACCTTGTTTCGGTTACCTGCCAAATATACCAGAACTCGAGGAGCATTTAAGAGGCAGCGAGTGAATATTTAATCGAATCGAAGCACCCATAAAAATATACTCCGATGTTCTTTGATAGCCGCTATCGAAGCACGGAATAATTGAATTTTCACTAATGAAAGTAGCTGTATCAACAACGCTTGACTATGAAAATTTTACGATCGGTTTTTATTTGTTTTGGTGTGTTAGGTTAAACTGACAATGTTAGGTTTAATTGTTACAGTATTTTGTGACACTGAATTGAATTATTAAATTGAATTATTAAGTTGAATTATTGAATCGAATTATCAAGTTGAATTATTAAATTGAACTATTCAAGTAAATTATCAAATTGAATTATTAAATTGAATTATCAAATTGAATTATCAAATTGAATTATTAAATTGAATTATTGAAATGAATTATTAAATTGAATTATTCTATTGAATTATCAAATTGAATTATTGAATTGAATTATCAAGCTGAATTATTAAATTGAATTATTGAAATGAATTATTAAATTGAATTATTCTATTGAATTATCAAATTGAATTATCGAATTTAATTATTGAATTGAATTACCAAGCTCAATTATTAAAGTGAATTATTGAATTGAACTATTATCATCATTTTTAAAATATACTATATTATTTTTGCACTATAATTTGTACATTGTAGCCTTTGATATTATAACTTGTACAATGTAACATTTAAACATTGTTTTATAACAATGCATAATTTTAATAATACAACAATTCCTGAATGCACTAAATAATTTTTGTTACCCAATAAAATTGAAGAAGACTAAAAATAAAGGATACAAAAAATAATGTTAGCACGAGAAAATATAGCACGCAAGTAATTAACGAGACAGCATAAGAAGAAGGTAATTAGGTTAGCAATCCGTGCACCGTTGACAGTGTATCATCATTCGGATAAAATCGAGGCTAACCCCCTCAAAGCCGCTAATCAAAGCGACACACGTGATAATTAATTACTTTTCGTTCGCAGGCGAGCCATTATCCCGTTGTATCGCGATCGTTTATGTAATAGGATGAATCGTCGCACGCACCGGTTCATTAACGTGCTCGTTACTCGTGCATTAGAGATTTAATCGTTATTAAATCACCGCATGGAACGACTAAATGCTTTTGATAAACCTCGACCATCTTAGAAACTATATACTTTGTGTCTTACAATTAGGTAGAATATACCTAGTTTCCACGTGGAGAATCTTGTAGGATGAATGTTAGGTTAGGAGAATGTTAGGTTAGGTTACGTTCAATGGGTGGGAAGTCGGACTTTATAGAGGGACAGACATTTGTAACTCACTTAAGTTGTAGTTAGTGAAGTTCTAAATTAAGAAAATATGCAATTCTTCTAATTTTTGGATGCTTGAATTTTTAAGTTAAATTTGACATTTTGGAATTCTGAAGTTCTGAGTTATCCAAATTCTTAATTCTTTCGAATTCCTAAGTTTCTCAAATTCCCAACTCTTCACATACTAAACCTCCCAAATTCCAACTCCCCAAATTCCAACACCTCAAATTCCCAATTCTCCCAAATTTCCAACTCCCCAAATTCCCAACTCTCCCAAATTTCCAACTTCCCAAATTCCCAACTCTCTCAAATCCCAACACCTTAAATTCCCAACTCCCCCAAATTTCCAACTCCCCAAATTCCCAACTCTCTCAAATTTCCAACTTCCCAAATTCCCAACTCTCCCAAATTTCCAACTTCCCAAATTTCCAATTCTCCCAGATCCCAACTCCTCAAATTCCCCACTCTCCCAAATTTCCACCTCTCCAAATTCCCCACTCTCCCAAATTTCCACCTTTCCAAATTCCCAACTCTCCTAAATTTCCAACTTCCCAAATTTCCAATTCTCCCAGATCCCAACTCCTCAAATTCCCCACTCTCCCAAATTTCCACCTCTCCAAATTCCCCACTCTCCCAAATTTCCACCTCCCCAAATTCCCAACTCTCCCAAATCTCAACTCTCTCATCTCCCAACTTCCCAAATTCCCAACTCTCCCAAATTTCCACCTCCCCAAATTCTCTACACTCCCTATTCCCAACTCTTCCAAATTTCCATCAACCCAAATTCCCAACTCCCCAAATCTCTAATTCTCCCCAATTCTCTCCTCCCCCAATTTCCACCTCCCCAAATTCTCTCCTCCCCCAATTCTCACGTCCCCAAATCTTCACAACCCCAAAATTCCCAACTCCCCAAATCCTTAACTCACCCCAATTCTCGCTCCCCCAAATTCTCTATTCCCCAAAATTCCACCGCCTCCAAAATTCTCTACTCCCCAAATCCTTAACTCCCCCCAATCCTCGACCCTCTCAACTCACCCAAATTCTCCAAGAATACGTTCAACATTCCGCAAAAATTCCTCCGATTTAATCCACACACCGAATTAATGAATCAAAAGAATGTCGAAGGATTCAGTTATTATTGATGCACGAGTTATGGAAGTAAAATTAATTAGCTAATAGAGTAAAAACATCAAAGGTTCAATTTCCAAAGCAGAATTTCATCTGATTAAGAATTTAATTATCAAAGTAGGATTTTCCTTTTAAAGAAAACATAAATGTCGGCGCCTCTTCAAAGGATCTGTTTATCAAAGTTATCGAAGATCCATTTATCGAGGTAGAATAAAATAGGAGAAGAAGTCCCGTTCGAAAGAAAATAAAAGAGATCCAATTACAGCGGCCAGCCTTTTTTCGACCCGACGATTTAACTGTCACGGAAAATTTCTCGTTATGAAAAATATCGACCGGTGCGTTATCAACACTCGGTAAAATCAACCGCTTCGATTCGGTAACAAAAATTTCCAGCAAGAACGTCGGTTTTATAAACACACGGAATATCTATATTCATAGCTGCGTGGAAAGAAATTCGTTTATATTCGCGACAAAAGATTTCCGTATATTCGCGAGAATATTTACATCCGTAAATATTTCGCGAGAGAGAAAATATTTCAGCGCGATATTTTTCAACGGGAGTTCAATTATCGTGACAGAAGTAATTATCTAGATGTTGCATTGAAAAAAGAAACCTCGAAGAAGCAATTACGGGTAGAAAGTTGGTCTCGAATCGAAGTTTATGCGAAGTAGAATTGCTTATCGAAGTAAAAGTGAATTTTCGCGGAGGTAAGCTCGTTCTCGGAAGTTAGTTTTCGCGAACAGTCTCGTCACGTGTTCGCGTATATCGTGCAACGAGGGACTGTCACTCGGTTAATTAGCAATTACACGCGTATCTGCGTGTCTCGGATTCCAAATTAGCGTGGCACTCGTGGCTGATGCATGACGATAACTTCACGCGACCTATGCGTACATAACTACTCTCCCAACTAGTTGTTTACATTCCTCCGCAACAATTGATTTACCCTTTACCAACTGTGCGAGAATTACTTACTCTCTGCAAATCCCTAGACTGTTCTTCTACTTCCATTTTTAAGTACATGGTAATTATTCGATATATGCGATCCAGGTGTCGACTTTTACTTATATCGTGGAGGACAAATATGCTTGTATCGAATAATTACTGCATTTAGAAATTATTTGGAGCTTGTATAGAGAGTTATATCAGTAGACACTGTTCTTAAATTTTTATACTAGGTGACACTGGATATTCTCTAGATATCAAGAATCCCTAGATCGAACGAATCCATAGATCCCTAGAATTCCTAGATCCCAAGAACCCCTAGATCTCAAGACTCCCTAGATCCCAAGAATTCCTAAATCCCAAGAATCCCTAGATCTCAAGACTCCCTAGATCTCAAGAATTCCTAGATCCCAAGAATCCCTAGATTCAAAAAATTCCTAGATCTCAAGAATTCCTAAATCCCAAGAATCCCTAGATCCCAAGTATCCCTAGATCCCAAGAATTCCTAGATCCCAAGAATCCCTAGATTCACAAAATTCCTAGATCTCAAGAATTCCTAAATCTCAAGAATCCCTAGATCCCAAGTATCCCTAAATCCCAAGAATCCCGAGATCTCAAGAATTCCTAGATCCCAAGAATCCCTAGATCTCAAGACTCCCTAGATACCAAGAATCCCTAGATCCCAAGAATCCCTAAGTCCCAAGAATCC